CTTTCTTTCTTTCTTTCTTTCTTTCTTTCTTTCTTTCTTTCTTTCTTTCTTTCTTCTTCTTCTTCTTCTTCTTCTTCTTCTTCTTCTTCTTCTTTCTTTCTTTCTTTCTTTCTTTCTTTCTTTCTTTCTTTCTTTTCATTCTTTCTTTCAAGAAGCATAGTCCTTGGTAGTTCTACAAACACCACTCATGGTAAATGGATTAGTCTAGGTTTTTCAACATTGGCTTGATTAGTAATTTGCTTCACAGACTACCCCAATCAAACTAGGTTTTGTTTTGTTTTTTCCTGAAGGGACAGTTTCTAAGAGAAGTGTCTGCTATTACTCCTAGCTCTTAAGAGGCAACTCTTTCCTCAGTTATCTTCACAACTAGTGACTTTTTCTAAACCTGATCACTTCCAGCAGACACTCATGCTAAACAGCATAGTCTTCCCTTTACATATTCATATAGGACCCTTCCCTTCTTTCCCTTTCTGTGCTGGGAAGTCCCCAGGGAATGCTAAGCTTCTTCTCAAGACTTCTTTTGTATTTGTAACTTTTAAAATATTTATTTATTTTTCTACTTTGTACAGAGTCTCATGTACCTCAGTGTAGTTTCTGTCTTTGCAGCACTGGGGTTACAGGTGTACATCACCACACTCCAAAGCCCTCCCTGACTCAGAGCGTCTGGAGGTGGAGCCGGAGAAGCATGTGGTGCTGAGGATTGAATCCCAGGCCCTGTGCCTGCCTAAGTAGGCACAAGTCTGCCAGCCCTCGTATTTGTAACTTTTGAGGTAGTTTCTCTCTATGTTTCTCAGCTGGATTGGATTAGTCGCCTCCCTCAGCCTCCTAACTAGCTTAGATTACAGGCACACATTCCCATGCACACTTAAATTCCCTTGATATCTCAAAATAGGAATTAAAGTTCAACACAGAACTCTGTAGAGGACTCTAGATCCTTATCTAAACCACACTGCCCTGTTTGGGAGCTCTATTATTGAGCAGAGGCAAAGGCAAGGGTCTAGGTTTCCTAGGCTGGCTTCTCCTAGCGTAAAACTTTCATATCAGCCTTGACCAGAGTAAGCGGAACAGATTGTTCTCAATGGCACTTAGCTCAAGGTAATTCCAAGAACTGATACAGGGTAGGATGAGCCATCCCCAATTCTCCTTGTATGCAGAAACTGGGAATTGGGTAGAATAAGAAATGATAATATCCTTCTTCCTTTCCCTCATGTGGAGAGATAGTTCTGACATTACAGCTTGGTGGAGAAGGTCCAGTTTGTTTTCAATTGTGTTAGTCTTCAGTGGGTTTTCTATCTTCCTGCATTGTACAGGTGCATTTGTAAACAAATATTCATTCATATTTGCAGACTTTATTTTTTAGTGTATTTTGTCACACATTTTTTTTTTTTTTTTTGCTATACCGTTAAGATTTTCTCAAAAGATGTAATTTTAAAAAATCCTCTACTTTTCCTAGGGACTTGGACTTCAGTATGTGTCACACAGTTATGTCATAAACCTAAACACACAGAAACCATAAGCAAAAAGAATGTAATCATTATCAAATAAAGCAAATAAACATTACTTATGTATTAAAGGGCTCCCCACCATCTTGAAAATGTGGCTTAGGCTAAATCTTGAGACAGAGCAAGGAATGCAGTAATTATAAAGTTAAAGAATTGTTATTCTTAGTCTGGTTTAACTGCATGATGTCTTTTACATACAAAGTGAAAATACAGAAAGTCTGATGATCTAGGTGTACTCTAAGCATATCACTATATTACAATAAGAACAGCTTAGATG